TGTACTAACAGATATACTCGATACTTCTCTGCGGGTTAAGTATCCACGTGCTATATTTACATTGTAATAAACTAATTTACCGAATGTCCAAGCTGGACAAATTGTAAAGAAAAGTGGTCGTAATAAAAAAAAAAAGAAAAAAAAAAAAAAGGACAAATATTGAACTTTCTTCACATTTATCTAAAGGCAATTAAGTTTAAATATTGTAATAAGTCGTTAAGAGTATATGTCAAACTGTTAAGATTTAAGTTAACAATTGTATTCGTTTATTCTCATTAATATTTATACTTTCCTCTAATTATTAAAATAAAAGTTCATTGAGTAACTACATGAAAAGTGTTTCTTGTTAGTGGTAATAGTGAAAAATAAGTGTTCCTACAAAGAACTTTTAAAATATTATCCATTTACGTATAATAAGTAATAGAAACTGTTTTCTCATTTTAAAATAATAAAAAAGGAAGATTTATTACTTAAAATTATGAATATATTTGATTATCAAAATCAAGCTCTTTCAATGATGAATATTTTCAAACTAAAGACAGAGAGATTTTTTTTATATATGATTAAATAAATTTGAATATATAGCAAATACTTTAGGGATATCATAAGATAAAATGGGTAAATTATTCATTTCAGTATGATGAAGTCCATAAGAGCGAGTCAAGATGGTTCACCCAACTGTCAACTTCTTTGAATTATCATACGAAGATATAATAAACGTACACCTTCGTTGTTTTAATTTGTCCAATAAAATGATATTATAGAGAAATCAATTTATGTCTCGAAAACAATATGAAACAAAAAGAAAAATAGAATGCTGATTTTTTAAGAAAATGATGTAATGAAAACGTTATGTAAACGTCTACTTTTATTGTTTACATTTAAAAGATCTAACTCATAATGGTATTGCATATAAATATTTATTATAAATAAATTGTATTTTTATAAAATGAAAAATGTTGTATAAATTAAAATTATATTATTTTTTTGCTTACATATTAATTTTACAAAAGTTTAGTTTTCAGAATAACATTTTTATGTTTTAAATTAAAAAAAAAAAAAAAATACATTTCCACATAATCACACATAATTAAAAAGTTATTATTTAGAATTTTTGAATAAAACGCAGGATTACTGTTTAAGAAGAGAAATACAGTTTTTTTTGCTTAAACACACACACATTCACATACACATTCAATTGCCACACGTACCAAATAAAGGCATTTACCCGACGCCTATCAATACTTTCAGAAATGTTCCGGCATACACACCTACACACGCATTCCTTATATCTTATTTTTTCCTCATCATTATACTTAGCCGTTCTGACAAACATATTCGTCCTCAGATATGCGATTGACTTTCATTATCCTTGTTAAAGATCACTTCTTCTTCTTCTTCTACTTGAACCACCGTTTCGTTGAATCAGCCGCTTTAGACGTCGTATATGAGTCTTCATGTTTTCCCACTTTCCTTATCAAAAGGCGAGCGTTCTTTAACACCGTGCTTACTTCGTATATATAGTCCTAAACATTTCGTTTGTAGCTTTAATCCGAGTTCACATTACGTTCGTTGGATCGCAACCATATCACCCTCTTTATATGGCGTTGCAACAGTTCTTCTTTTATTAAAAGGTTCACGGTTTTCCGTCCAAGATTTCAAAATAGCTACCTTTGCATGATTCCCATCTATACTATCATATCTTCTTTCACTCCATGAGTCAAGATTGTTTCTAGTTGTTATATTGCAGTTGGTATTAAACGATCTTTCTGAGCTGTTCTTTTCTACTTCTGAAATTTTTTGCTTCCTTTAAAGAATTGTTCAAGAGAAATCGTTTCTCCTACTAATTTTTTGAATGATATTCTAACCATTTTCTTTAAAGTGGTTCTCATTTCATCATTGAAAATTCCTTTCAAAAATTGCGCACGTAATGATCCAGTATCTACTTATAAGCATCTATCAAATAGTTTTCGTAAGCTATTAGAATAATTTTCTATCGTTTCTCCTTCATATTGATATAGATTCCGAAAACAAAGCCTATAAAAAATAGAGCTACCATATTTTTTAAAAGAAGCAATGTAAAGGTTTATTATCTTCTCGTATGAAAGTTCAGAAAAGTCTACAGAAGGTTTTACCACTTTGATATACGTATGGAAATCAGTATCCACCATTTCATTAAAGAATGCAATCATTTTATCTTCTGGTACCTCGATTATACCTGCTACATACTCAAAATAATTAAACCACTTAAGAAATGTACGGTCATTCTCAGAATAGAATGTGTCAATCTATAAAAGAGCTCGATTTACATATATATTTATTTCATCAGCTTCTTCATATTCGATGGCTTTTGCTAGCGTTTCATCGAATGATAAGTAAGGAATTTTTTCTAAATATTCTTTTATATTACTATCGCGAATTCCACTAACGAATTGATCAACTAAACTGAATTTTGGATCGTACAAGGCCTCAAATTATCGCAAGTAGAGCACTATAGAGATGAGTACTCTCATCCGCCATTTTCGCTCCTACAGAGAAGACACCAGTATGGTTTTGTATAGTAAACACGTTTGTTGACATCAAGCGAGATTGAATTATTTATTGATAATTGTATTAAATTTCATTTAAAAAATTATTTGATAGTTGATGTTAGTACTTAACCYTTYTATTYTKAACATTAAAARATAGATTAAACTACAAAATACTATTCAGTGATTGATTTATTAACACGGATAACATCTCTATATTTGGAACGTTTCAGTAATAATTTGGTAAGTAATGATTTAATATTACTCTGAAAAATAGATAATCTGTTTAAATTATAAAAATACTGGATTTGTTTAGTAATATATATTAAATATATTGAATAACATATTACAAATAAAAGCTCAATAACTCTTATTTTTATTTTAAAACAGATAAAAAGTATGCCAGTAAAAAAGGAAGACAACAACAAAAGATCAGTCGCTGCTAAAAGCAAAATGGTATTATATTTTTATTTTGAAACATTAATTATTTATGTTTATGTTATATAAATATGTAAATTAATTGTAAATTTAAAGATAATAATTGTATCTTTTTTAGAAGTATGAAAGTGGAATAAAATCTGTTGACGAAGAGACCATTATGTCTTTGCTTGCTAAAAATCACTCTATCAGGGCTCAAATAGAGAGAATGAATGCAATTTTAAGAGAATATAAATCGTATTCAGCAGCTTCAGAATATTTMAGCAAATACAATGTTTCATAATCATGAACTTAATTAAACATGGTAAAAATTGTATATATTTAAAAAAAAAAAGTAATGAACTGCACATAGCATAAGTGAGTAGTTAGARTTGTACATTTGAAATAAAAYAAATTTRTATCATTTRTATGAATATATCTATATTTATTTATTCATTTGTTCCGTTATAAACATATTATAAAATTATAAATAATAAAATTAACATCATTATTAACAATGCACAATATATGTGCAGCAAATGCATAAATTAAATGTTTAAAACTCTTCATTTCATAGTCGCAGATCCATACACTTTGGTATGACGTTTGCAGTTCTCATAATAATTTTTCACGCAATACGAACGAACATTGAAAAAATGTTTAATTATTTTGTACTTAACATAACAACAACTTGGAAAATCAATGTTGATTTTCTCAAATAATACTTTTAATAAATCACAGTTACTATTTCTAATTATCACATCTTGGTACAAAGTGAAATAATGTTCACAATGTAAAATTAAACTATAAGTTTCCATACATGGTTCCTTTAAACCACCTTTGTTTAACCCTTCGGTGTAATACTTTGCTTTTTTTATAAAATCTATATTTGGCAAATTTGAAGATGTCAAAAATTGCACACAATTTCTACTAACACGTTTGGCTACAGCATTAGTTGTGCTGCCAGCTAAATAAAAGATGCTATTTGNCTGCTGTATTCATGCAGAGACATTTCCACTTACACCATCGCAGATGGTTTGTCTCCTCTATCTGTAATATCTCTATGTGTTTGGGTCGCAAAATAATATACTTAGACTGCTTGGATCGTTCTAAAATTTTTGCATGATAATTCTACATATGTCTACTTTCGAAAAATGCAAAAAAAAAAAAATTAATTTTTTCAAAATGATAAACCAGAATGAACCCTTAATACATCATTATTCTTATTAAGGACAAAAGTAGAGCGCTGTAAGCCATCCTCTCTCCTCTCCTATCACAGAACAATGGTGTTTACAACGTGAGTCGTTAGTATACATAGAACCTTTAAGATATTACAATAATTTCGGAATGTTGAATTCAGTTATATTTATAATTTTTTAAAACAGTTTTTAAAATTCGTTGCGACACAAAAATAAGTTACTTCTATACAAACATCAAAGATATCATAACAAATATAAAACGTTTACGTTGTATCAAAGAAAATAATTTTAAATTACATTACGGAAAGTGTATTGCTGTTATCAGCAAAAAGAGAACGAAAATCCGAACAAAATAATTTCTAAAAATTATCTGTTTACTTAGAAAAAATATTAGACAGGGATTTCTATTTAAAAATAATGAACAGTGGGGATTTATTACACGAAGACAATCAAATATGTCGTTATCAAAATCAAGCTCTTACATGGATGCAAGTATATAAATTAGAAGACAAGGAAGAATTTTTTGAATGGTTAAAAAGATTTCAATATGTAGCAAATACTATCAGTATACCACCAGATAAAATGGTTGAATTTTTTAATTGCATGGTGGATACTGATGTCCACACATGCGTCAAGAAGATTTATCCTATTYTTGAGCTCTCTGTACTTTCGTACGAAGAAACAGTAAAACATTACTCTATTGTGTTATCTAGTAGACGTTTTATTTCTCGGATACAATATGAAAATGAGTCAATAGTAGATTATTCTTATAATCTACTAAATATATTTAAGGAATGCCATTATCCAGGTAATTTCGAAGAAAAATTATGCGAACGATTCATTAATGGACTCCAGGACGATAATATAAGAAATCATTTAAAACAAAAACCTTGTTTATCATTCGATAGAACTTTAGAAGAGTCAATGGAATTTTATAAAAATACTACCCTATCCTATTTTAAAGACCAAGCTCTTTTAAGGATTCATTGTTACAATCTAGGAATGGAAGGTGATTTTTGTGATTGGGTAAATAAATTTGAATATGTAGCGTATTCTATGAGGGTACCCAATAGATTGATGGTTGAATTGTTCAAGAATATGGTAGATGATGATGTCCATATTGGGATATGTGTAAAGGAGATTACCCCTGATATAAAATTCACCGATATACCCTACGATGAAATAACAGAGTTTTATCTTCATTATCTATCTGAAATTAATGAAACTGATCCGTATAGAAAACGTTTACAGTGCCGAAATCAATATGAGGAAGAAACAATAGAAAAATATGCTGATAATTTAGAAAAAATATATAATAAATGCYATTATGAAGAACAATTAAAAGAAAATTTATGCAAACAATTTCGTATAGGAATCCGCAATATTAAAATAAAAAATTTTTTAAGTAAATTTCCTACATTATCATTCTTTGAGACGGTATCAAAGGCCGTTACATTAGAAGAAGTTGATGAAAGGAATGATAATACTCATCGTACTTCTTCAACGATTAATAGATTCAAATCAGAGAAAGAATTTGATATTTGTGATTGGTTAAATAAATTCGAGTACATAGCCTTTAATTCTATATCTGAAGATAAAATGATTCCATTCTTTATTGAAATGGTGGATAATAATGTTCATAAGCGGGTCCAAGAGAAATACTCTTATGTCAACTTCTCTGTACTTTCATACCAAAAAATAATAGACCATTACCTTCGGTTCTTTTCTCCTACAGATGAAGTGTTTTTACACAGAAGACGTTTTTTTTGTCGAGAGCAATATACACAAGAAAATTTAATGAGTTATGCTCATTGTTTACAGAAAATACATAGTAATTGTAATTATACACGTTACGCAGATGAAAGATTATCCAACCAATTTGTTAGTGGAATTCGCGGTAGTGATATAAAAAAACATTTAGAAAAATTTCCTTACTTATCATTTGATGAAACGGTAGCAAAAGCCACGGAATTTGTAAAAGCTAATGAAATAAAAAAATATGTAAACCAAGCTCTTTTATGGATTGACACATACAACTCTGAGACTGACCATACATTTCCTGATTAGTTTAATAAATTTGAGTATGTAGCAGATATGATCAAGGTATCAGAAGATAAAATGATTGCATTCTTCAATGAAATGGTGGATAATGATCTTCATAATCATGCCAAAAACAACAATATTTCTGTAAACTCCGATGAACTTTCAAACGCGGACATAATAAGCTTTTACATTGTTTCTATTAAAAAATGGAATGAAACTTGTTTTCATAGGTATCGTTTTTATCAGCGATATCAATATGAAGAAGAAACGATAGAAAATTATTGTATAAGCTTGCGAAAAATATTTAAAAAAACCTTGTATAGAGTCAAGTCAGCATTACGTCGTCAATTTGTGAATGGAATTTTCAACGATGAAATAAGAACCATTTTAAGGAAAATGGTTAAAATATCATTCAACAAATTGGTAGGAAAAGCGATTGATCTTGAAAAATTGCTTAGAGAAAGCAAAAAAGATCAGAAGTAGAAAAGAAAAGCTCAGAAAGATCGTTTAATACCAACCGCAATAAACCAAATAGAAACAATCATTACTAATGTAGTGAAAGAAGATATGATAGTATAGATGGAATCTTTTAATAAAAGGAGGACTGTTGCAAACGATACAAAGAACTTAATATATTTCCTACATTTATAAAAAGAGCAATTAATCCTGTATCCCTAATTATATCTCTTAAGTGTAAACAATTGAAGTGTATCTTGTTATTAATATGTAGGAATTAAGATATCATAGTAGACCTAGTAAAACTTGTTTAAGATTGTCAATAACAGTAGTTTTTTCAATTATAGATTGAATATAATAGTAGTAGTAGTAGTAGAAGTATATCATAAAATCTATGTCAAAGTATTGACATAGTTAAAAGAATAATGTATGTTTTTATCTCTTTCTCATATTTATATTACTCACATTTAAACAGATAAATTTGTAATGTTGCTAACGCGTTTCAATTTTGAAATATACAATGTACTATTTATTGGGCTTATTTGTAAATATATTATTATTTTTACTAAGGACAAATATCGAGTCGTGTTTAGACACTCGATCCGATCGGTCGTGTTTGTAAACAACTGCGTAGTAGTAGTGAAAGTGTTTGGGAAGCTTGTGTGTACATACATGTATACATATAATACCTACGGATATACTTATACGTATACTTATATACATATATATATACAAGCGAGTATAAAAGTTTAACCGTCAATATCTTTTAACTGACTGGACTGCCATATGGCTAGTCCAATCAGTTAAAATGGCGGAAATATCAAGACAAAAAGATCTAAAATTAAAAATTACCAAGACCGGTACTAAATTCCGAATAAACAACGTCGATTCAAAAAACAATAACAACAGCGATCTTGAAATGGAAACAGAGCATGAAATGTTCCCACAACAAGCAACAGGAAACGTAAAATCGAAGGACCTGTACAATTAAACAGCATATTCAGCATGGACTACGAAACAGAGGTGCAATGTAATTGGCTCTCGAAAAAAATACCGATCTCAAACTCATTCAGTCCGTTAACCGTAGAGGCTGAAGAACCTTTAGAACCTGCTAGCAAAAAAAGTACCCCTCCACCAAAACCACCTCCAATATTTATCACAGTCCAGGTGATAGAACCACTGATTGAATTCCTAAAAGTAACTGTAGGCGATAATTACACGCTCAAACAACTCCAAAACGATCAAATTAGACTG